GGCAAAACTGAAACTCATAAACAAGGGAAAACCTTACTACAGCACTTAAGATCATATACCAATTACACTGCCTTGGCCAAAGCTAGCCTTTCGGCAACAAATGATCTCAGATTGTCCTTTATTAAGCCAGGAAAATGGATCATCTCTCTCTCAACCTCTCTCTTTAAAACCACCCAGATGTACGCTGAATGAATTTTTATTAATAAATACCTCAAAAAGAGAAGTAAGGGGCTTACCTTACTAATCCAAATGAGGGGTTATCATCTCACTAACTTCTAGTTTTTTTTCTTGATACATAACACGCTGGCTATGTGCATATTGTTTGATTTTACATTGTTTGAAATGGTTTCATCTGGAAGATGATGTATAAGCTTCCTATGCAGGTATGTAGCAACTGAATTGGCAACTGATATGGTCATCCATGTTGGAGATGTAAAATTTAATGTCCACAAGGTATGTTCTCCATCTTAGGGCCATATTTGTCATACTCTTTTCTTGGCGTGTTTAACATATAAAACTTTGAAGTACATGTTTTAGATACTTTTAGACATGATATCCCAGAAATACTAGCCTAAGATCTATTAGTTGTCCATTGACCTTGACATGTTGACACCAGTTATCAAAGTGGTTAAAACATAAAAATGAATTTGCGGTGTCACTTTCAGCATGCATCAGCCTGCCATTGCATTCAAAAGGCTAAAGTTTCTTCATTCCATCTTGTTAGTGCTGAATGTTCAGAAGATAGCCTAGCAAGGGAATACTCTCAATGAGATTCAGCCTAATCCTTCGTAATACCAATAGTTCACATTCTGATACTTGCAGACAATACTCATTTCCCTGTTGTTGCCTGCTTACTATTTGATCCATCCGGTGTGTTACCTGTTAATACTAACAGGATTATACTTTCTCCAGTTCCCACTTCTGTCGAAGAGCGGTCGCTTGCAGAAGCTGGCGGCACATACAAATGAGGAAAGCAATGATGAAATCAACATCCACGATGTACCTGGTGGACCTGCAGCTTTTGAAATATGCGCAAAGTTCTGTTATGGTATGGCAGTAACTCTGAACGCGTACAATGTGGTTGCAGCTCGCTGTGCAGCTGAATATCTGGAAATGTATGAAACTGTAGAGAAGGGTAACCTTATCTACAAGATTGAGGTCTTTCTTACTTCTAGCATCTTCAGGAGCTGGAAAGATTCAATCATTGTTCTCCAAACAACAAAATCTTTTCTTCCCTGGTCCGAGGAATTAAAGATTGTTAGTCATTGTCTAGACTCTGTAGCATCTAAAGCTTATATTGACACCTCAAAGGTGGACTGGTCGTATACTTATAACCGTAAAAATCTTCCAGCTGAAAATGGAAGTGATCCGCTATGGAATGGTGTGAAAATGCAACAGTTTGTTCCAAGAGACTGGTGGGTTGAGGACCTTTGTGAACTTCACATTGACATGTATAAACGGGTTATAACGACGATAAAAACTAAGCGGGGAATGTCTCCAGAAGTAATAGGTGAAGCATTGAAAGTGTATGCCTACCGAAGGCTACCGGGATTCAGCAAGGGTACACTACCAGGAAGCGATCCTGTGAAGTATCGGTGCTTGGTCGATGCGATTACTTCTCTGTTGCCGACAGAGAAAAATAGTGTTTCTTGTAATTTCTTGATCAGATTGTTACAGACTTCTATTTCTTTGGAATGCGGAGAAACAGTAAGAAGTGAACTGAAGAGGAGGATTGGCTTGCAGCTGGACGAGGCATCAGTAGCTGACCTCCTGCTTCGAGCCCCAGCTAGTGAAGCTACTACATACGATATTGACATAGTACATGAGCTTGTTCAACAGTTCCTACTGCAGCAAAGGAGTGGTCAGAGCAATTATACTGAAGATAATGAATTTCAGGAGATGCCCCCTGCATTTGCATCAGATGCTTCCAAGGTTAAGGTGGCAAGGGTGATTGATGGATACCTTGCGGAAGTTTCTCGAGATCCAAATCTACCTTTGCCTAAATTTGTCAATCTTGCTGATATGGTCTCTGGCTTCCCTAGACCTTCCCATGATGGAATTTACCGTGCTATTGACATGTACCTTAAGGTATCCATTTTGCATTTATCTTTTTCAAACATCATGTTTTATAGTTTTTGGGCTTCAGATATTTGAAAAGGAAAGCAATTAATGGTTGAAAACCACTCTGTCTGCTCCTTGAGAAGCACCAGAGGCACATTTGTGTGGCTGGTTTATCATCAAGAGTTCTGAATAATCATTTTCTTTTTCGCAGGAACATCCTGAGATCACCAAGAGTGAAAGAAAAAGAATTTGTAAACTAATGGACTGTCGGAAGCTATCAGCTGAGGCTTGCATGCATGCTGTGCAGAATGAGCGCCTTCCTTTACGCGTAGTTGTACAAGTGCTGTTCTTCGAGCAAGTGAGAGCAACAACATCATCTGGTGGTGGCAGCACTCCTGACCTACATGGAACGATTAAGGCTTTGCTTCCAGGGGAATCCCATGGTAGCTCAAGATCTGCTACGACCAACACAGAAGAGGACTGGGATGCCGTGCCTACAGCTGAGGAGCTTAAAGCTTTGAAAGGGGAGCTTGCTACTCTAAGGTTAAGAGACAAGGAAGGGAGCAATGATAGTAATTTGAAAGACATGAAACTGAGTGCCGAAAAGGTGGCTGGTGGCAAAACAAAGGGTTTAATCATGTCCAAGAAGATCTTCTCAAAACTGTGGTCCAACAAAGATAGAGTAAGTGAGAACAGCAGCTCGGATACATCAGAAAGCCCGGGATCTTCCAATGCTGGGGAATCAAAATCCACCCCATCAAGAAGTAGGAGGCATTCCCTATCTTAATATTAGTTGCAGATTAGCCAGTTTCTCATATGTTATGTAAAAGTTTTACCCCCTATTGTTGCTAGGATTGGAAGAAGCTAAGTCTGCCACTAACCCTTGAAAAGGAAGAGAGAATTTCCCCCAAAAATTTTGAGCATTTGAAGAATGTATTTTGCAAGGAAACTGAATTGGATCCTCTAGTTTGATAGTTTTTTCATTGTATTCAATTGTTCCCCAAGAGAAATATAGGTCTCCTCCTTTATTTAAGGCTCTCTTTTTACAAGAGCAGAATTGGTTTTATAATCAAGCACAATATATCTTCTTCTGGACCATAAAGAAAGAAGTCCTTATGTAGCACAGTGGACATGTAGTGCAGTTAGTTTGTTAAATAAGTCTGGTGGAAACTGACAAGCCATGGTTAATGAAGAAATATAGTTTGATTTACGCACATTTTAATATGATGTATTTTATGAATTTTAATACGGAATACCATGGTAACATACTAGGCGGAAACGATATAGAGAAGACATGAAAAAGAATTAAGGGGATGCAACACGAGCTGTTTAACACAACTTACATTTTGAGGATAGAAATATTACATATTTACATGTATAGCCTCAATTAGCCTAACATAAAAATTAGAAAAAGCAAAGGTGATTGTCAAGAGATTCAATTAGCCTATATAACTATTCCATAATCCATTGATCTTTGATGAACCATTTTATTTGTCTTCTACTGTGAGTCTGAATAAGAATAGAGGATTACTCGTTACCTTCAACTTTTTATGGTAGGGTGTTGGTGGAAATGACACCAGGTAGCCACTCTAAAGGACTGCTATTTAGGAATTAGTCGGTGCTTCCTAACTTTTAATTTTTCGGTTCAAATTTTTAAGACAAAAATATTCTGAATTGTCCTGAAATTTTTAGGACAAAATAAGTACTAGTTAATCATTAAATATTTTCCGTAAGAGTGGATGTTTGTGCACGGTGCACCTACGCCGAAAAGCTGTAAATTGGGAGCCTTGGCAATGTGTTGGGCCTATAGGTACGTACACTGCGCTTTGTACAGTTGGATCAATATATCTGGTAATGTTTTGGGCCTAACTGTTGAATGACAGTAGCTGTAAAGGGTTTATCAACGAATTTTATGAGGGAGAAATTTAAAAATAGCCAGATTTACAACTGGTCATTCAAAAATAGCCACAGTTTTAAAAGTAATCGAAATTGAGCCACTTTTCATGTAAAAATAAATCTGAGGGAAAACACTGTTCAAAACCCGGAAAATATGCCCGTATATTATACTGGAGTTCCAGCATAAGTATGCTTGAACTCCAGTATATTATACGGGAGTTCCAGGATAACTATGCTGGAACTCCCGTATAATATGTTGGAGTTCCAACATAAGTACACTAGAACTCCATCATAATATACGGGAGTTCCAGCAAGTATAAATGTCCAGTATAATATACTGGAGTTTGGAGCACCGGTGCTCCAGTCTCACGTATATTATACAGGAGTCAACAAAGTATACCGGTCCAGCATAATATGCTGGAGTTCGTACACAGATGCACCGAACTCCCGTATATTATACGGGACCAGTCTCTGTTGCAGCAAAATAGTGGCTATTTTTCATTGACTTCGTAAATGGTGGCTATTTTTGATTGACTAGTCCGAAAACTGGCTATACCGTGCTATTTTGACATTTTATGACTAATTATTAGAGCTGTCAAAACAGGCCAACCCAGCCAGCCTAGCCCAGCCCAAACCTCATAGGCTTTTAAAATATGATGGGTTAGGACAGGCCGGCCCGCCATATGAATGGGCCTTAAAATGGTCACCCAACCCAGCCCTAAGAGGGTCGCGGGCTAGGGTGGGTCGGCCCTTCAATTTTTTTTAGAAAAAAGAATTTCTTTAAATCCTTAAATATTTTTCGTGACATAGTCGATTAATCATGTAAATAACTTCTGTTTGCGTATAACTTACAAAAAGCTTGATATTTGAGAGGAATCTCGTAATTGAAATGCAAATTCTCTATACTTTTTAAAGCTTCAATAAGTTTATATGCTGAGGTTTTTTAATTCAGGATTAACATCATTTGCTGATTTCATCATTATAGTCCATGAAATTTTTAAAATTCCTGAAATTTGCTAGTGGTCAAATTTTTGTGTGTGTGTGTATTTAAAATTGATCTTTTTCTATACTGAAGAATAGTTTAAATATTAATAATATATTAAAGTAATCAAAACTAATTATTAGCCACTTAAAGTAATATTTTCTTTTGAAAAAAGATTATTATTGGCCACCTAAAACTTTTCGTGTTCATTATTAATTAAGCAAAATAAAAACTAATTTTGTCATATAACATGCATGTCAAAAATATAAATTTTAGTTGATATAGAAGGTAAATGAGCAATCTAGGGTTGGGGAATGAGGATTATAGTTAACAGTTTTTTTTAGTTTTTATTTTTTAAAATATTAAATATTTGATAGTTAATTATTTTTTAGCCCACGGGCCGGCCCAAGCCCAACCGAGGTCAGGCCTCAAGGGCCAGCGGGCTGACTTGGGTCGAGCTTATAAGCCTCAATTTTAAATGGACTCAAAAAATCCTAGCCTAACCCTACCCAAGAAGCGGGCTGGGTTGGGCTGGCCTCACGGGCCAAACCCATTTTGATGGTATAGGCATGCAAATTTTATTGAATATAAATTCAATAAAATAATTTGGGCTAGTCCAAATAAATATTATGTGCTAATATAATTAAATTAATTATATAAGTCCAATATATATGGATTATAATAAATATGTCTTAATCCATTGGGCTAGCCCATTTAATTGGGCTAAAGTAATGAGCCCACTTTATTAAGCCCAAGATGACATCTTCCTGGAGGTTCAGTTTGGTGCCACATGTCAAATGACGTGGCGCGCCAAGTCAAACGGAAGAGCCAATAGGATCATGCCACGTGTCAAAATGACAAGGTATGCCAAGTCACACTAAAAGGCCAATGAAATCGCGCCACGTGTGCAAGTGACATGTTTTGGACAATCAAATGTGGCCATGTCACACTTCAATTTGATTGGTCGGAAAGAGTTTGTTCTTATCATGACTCTTCCCTTCCACAACTATAAGTAGGGTCCTTCATAACCTAGAAAAGACACAAGAAGTTATAACAAGAAGCAAGAGAGAGCTCGTGGATCAAACACCGCAAATTCCTCCACAAGTTTCAAGCTTCAAGCAATCAAGTTCAAGTTCAACAAATCAAGTCCAAGCTCAAGAACGAAGAACAAATCAAGTTCAAGCTCAAGAACGAAGAACAAATCAAGGTTCAAGGAGTGCGAGTTCAAATCAAAGTTCGTGCTAGTTGAATTCAACATCGTTCGTGGCAACAAACATAGATTCAAGCTCAATCTCAAACGCCCTTGAATTTATTTACAATTGGCAAGAAGAATCAGAGGATCCATAGAGATTGTAACACTCAAATATTCAAAATAAAATACTATGATTGTTGCAATATTTTCGGTCTTGATTTTATTTTCTCGATGCAATTTATTGTCTACAAATTCTGGCACGCCCAGTGGGACAATCTCTACCTCTCATGTCAACTTTTCAATCACCACAGTTCGAGAACAGTAAAATGGCTTCAAAAAAAATCAACTCCGGTTCAACTTCCACCAAGGCTGCTAACTCCAGGTTCTACGCTGATGTGGAAAGCATCCTCGATGTTACCTTTGGAAGCTTTGGACCAGTTACGAGGAGCAAAGCAAGCTATTTAGGGCAACAAGCACCCCAAGTGTCGTCCGCATCAACCCCTATTTTTGAATCTTCATCCTCAAAAAGAGCAAGATCTTCCACAAACGCATCTGAAGGAGGAAGCGATGTGGCTGAAAAGATCAAGAAAAATTTTGCTCTGCTTGACCTCTCCGGATCCAAGCACTCTGCTGTGAAGGAAGATGATGATGCTTCAAGTGATGGATCCTCCCCACTTACACCACATAACGTGAGCCAATCAAGAATCAATCTGTGTGAAAATCTATGCTACTCTCTGTCATCCACGACAATCATGCAAGCCATGGTGACAAACAGTTCATCTATGGAGGAGCAGTTGGCAAACTTGACGGAAGCAATCACTGGCTTGACCAAATGCATGCAAAATCAAGAGGCTAGAATTGATAAGCTAACAGACAGGGTGGGAATCTTGATGGAAGAAGAATCCGCCCATGCACCCGACAATCTTCCAGAAGATCTAAAGAGTGACTCTCCCCCAAGACAAGCAGCATCCACTAAGGCTATCCCTGTCTCATCTGAAGGGATGATTCCAATCGATCAATTGAAAAAGTTCATTAAAGGAACTATTAAGAACAAATATGAAGTTGCTGTAAAATCCTCCCTTACATATGCAAAGCCATACACTGCAAGGGTCGATATGTTGAAGATGCCTGCTGGCTATCAACCTCCAAAGTTTCAACAGTTTGATGGTAAAGGTTACCCAAAGCAACATGTTACGCACTTTGTGAAGACGTGTAATAATGCTGGGACTTATAGAGATTACCTCATCAAGAAGTTTGTCCGCTTGCTAAAAGGAAATGCTTTTGACTGGTACACAAACCTCGAGGCTGGATCTATCGATAGCTGGGATCAACTAGAGCAAGAGTTCCTCAATCACTTTTATAGTACAAGACGTACTGTGAGTATGATAGAACTTACAAATACTCATCAACGAAAGGGGGAAATAGTTATCGACTTTATCAATCGTTGGAGGAATGCAAGCCTCAACTGCAAAGACAGGTTCAGTGAAGCTTCAGGCATAGAGATGTGCATCCAAGGCATGCATTGGGGATTGCGCCACATCTTGCAAGGTATCAAGCCTGGCACATTTGAAGAATTTGCAACTCGTTCCCATGACATGGAATTAAGCATGGCCTCCACTGGAAATGAAATGCTACCCATCTATGAACCTTGCAAAGGGAATGACAAGCAAGAAGTCAGGAAGTGGGGCAAGTTCGTACCCAAGTCTTAATGTCAACACGTCACCTATGAAGTTCACGACGAAGGTGAACAAGAAGCAGAGTATGAAATCCACTTCTTTTCAAGATAAGCCAAGTGGAAATTTGACTCTAAAAGAAATGCAGGAGAAAGAGTACCCATTCCTAGATTCTGATGTGCCAGCCATTTTTGAAGAACTCCTCGAGTTAAATTTCATTGAGCTTCCGGAGATGAAGCGACCAAATGAAGCTGGAAAAACGAATGACCCAAATTACTGCAAATATCACC